ACTTCAATTTTTTTCGTAGGCGGTTTAGACCACCGTTGAAACTCTCGTTGTCTTCGTTCTAGATATCCTGATGTCAGAGAGTTGTGTGGTATACTTTGTCTTTGTCATTCGTCTAAAAACAAGAAATACGCTCATAAAATGTTTTAGTGAGAGGGAAAATTTGACCCATAAGGAACAAATAATTATTGTTGAAAAAAAAATGAGTATAATCATAACATATGCGGACAAATGAAGAGTAGAGGCAGAATAAGAAAGATTATTGATATTTACTAGTATATATTTCCCTACACGGAAATGAGGTGACCAACCTTCCTTTTTCGACTAGATATAACAAATCGTATTGCGAATCGATTGGTCTTCGATTATTGTTTGTTGCAATAACTGACATACTAGTCATACTGTCTACTTGTCTAGAGGCGGTGACCCGGAAAGTTGATTTCTGTGGTCGGTGCGTTTTTTGGAACGACGTACACATGTCGAGGAATTACCCATTATAACGTTAAACACTTCAGGGACCCCCAGGCCTTCGGGCGCAAGACCACGAGAGGCAATTCTTGATATAAAATCTTCCTGGTGGTGCATGCCCCCAAACCCCCCTGGATGAGGTTAGATCCCACCCCCCCACCCCACACTTAAATCATGTCCACATGGATATGAAACTAAATACATTTGCACACATCTTGTGTCCATATCTTTCTGTTTTGGTGGTCATGCCACGGTGCATGAATGCGCGGGTCATGGTCAAATATCTGGATTAAGAGGTTGCTTTTTCTTTGTCACAGCATGAAAGAAACGGGAAATGAATGGGCTGTGATTTGAGTTTTTTAAGCAGACGTTGAGTTCAATAATTCGTACGGCCTCGAAGGATGTTGTAAAAATTGAAATGGCCCTTGAGAGAAAAAAGGTTCCCCACCCCTGGTCTATGATGACAGTTGACATCAGTCTAGGACCTATCTCCGCCCACCCCCTCACGCGTCCGTGTGCGTAGGACGGTCTAGGACCTAGCTAGCTGATTCTCCGCTCAAGAAAAGGCTGAGGTGAGGTAAGGTTTTGTGATGATCCTGTTTGCCGTTAAGTTTTTCATTTGTCCAGCTTTAAGTGTAATTTTATGGATAACATTACTATTTCTTGCTCGTATGGTAATGCATAATTATAATATTTTGAAGTGTTTTTGTTACTACTTGGATAAGTTATGTTGCAGTTGTGTTCTTTTTTTATTATTATCTAGTGCTAGGCAGTTAGCGCTGTGTTGTTAGCTGTCAAAGATAAGATGATGCTTAATAAATATATATAAAAGTATTGTAAATGCATATACAATCGTAGTCACTTCATATCGTATGTTAAATCATTGTTTTAATTTATGGCCTTGGTGCCCTGGCTTTTGGCCTTTGTGCCCTTAAAAAATTGACAACTCAAAAGGCCAAGTGGCCTTGCCCCTAAAATGACGAAATTCCAGGCCTGGTGCTGACCCTGAAACGCTGTCATTGTATGTTTTTCTTGCAAAACCAGGAAACAAACATGTCTTAAAACATGTCTTAAACCCTTAAGGTACCATTTGTGAAGTCAAGATTGCCCTAACCCTAACCCTCTCACCAAAATAGATTGACATTTAAATGTTCATTCAGGAAACCATTACCCAAGCTTTCCTGTCCAAACACATTTCATGTACTACAGATAAATATCATCAGTTGCCTACAGTCAAATACAAATATAGGCTTTCTAAATCACAGTCCTCAGGGGGAGGCTTTAAAAGGTTATCCACCTGGTCAAAATGATCATCAATAAATTACAAAGTTAGTTCATTTATAAACTAGAGTGCACATGGAAATGAAGATTTACACTGAATACAAAAGAAAATGTGTTATTGTTACCCTTTCATTTAATCAGTTAACACAAAATGTTTTTGTATAAAGCAACTACTGCTGAAGGACGCATGCATCTACTCATTTCAAGCCATTTGCCCCGAACTGTTCAGTGTACAGTGTAAACAGTGTCAATTGAGGAAGTCACACTGCTGGCAGATGCCACGTATAATTATATCAAATGTCATGACGCATATTCCTAAATGGGTTCACGGGGGATTTTTCAAAACAGATTTAAAAATCTGTTGTTAACCTGCCAGTCAGTGAACGCTTTTATTTATTTTTGTGACCAACTTTTTATTGTTTTTTTTTGTTGTTGCCCTCAAAGAGGGACTTATATACACTACACAGATACAAATTATATAGACAATAATACAAACAGAAAAAGAAAAGACAAAGAAAAAATATAGGGATTCCCTTTCCCATGCCACCCCGTCCCTCCCCCTTCCCACCCATCTTGCCATTTCACAGAAAATCCTACCTGATGTTTGTTAGCAATCGTCTGAGTTCACCTATCTATTATATTATATATATTATTTATATTATAGAATAACAAGTGAACGCTTTTATTGTAAACCTTTAAAATAATTTCTGTAATTATTATAACAGTTTATACATAATTTAGATGGATAGATTTATTGATCCCAAATGGGGGTAT